GGCTTTGTGTGAAGTCGGGTTGTAGGATAATTCGTCAAGTAATCTGTCGGTATGCGTCGGTTTTCTGTACACTGTCGTTCGCAGTTCGTTGTTGTCGCGACTTACCAAACAGTCTAGAATGGAAAAGGAAGTTTTCCATTTTCTTTCATCTCTTTAGTAAACTGGATGTCGGCGTTCTGTTCGTTTAGTGGTCGTAAAAACCGTCAATTTCGTCTTTGTGAACGGCGGTAAAGGTGTCGTCAACGTAGCAACCAAAGCGGTATCCGCATCACAATTTCTGCGACAACAATACAAACAGGCGACCCCATGGCTGTTCCATGCAACTGTTTGTAGTGTTTACCGTTGTACTGAAAGTAAGTCGATGCAAGGCAAAGGTTCAGTAAGTCTATGATGTCTTCTGTTGGTAACGGTAGTTTAACAGTAGATTGTTGTATAGCGGTCTCGGTACATTATAATGCCATTCGAAGTGGAATACTGGTGAACAATGATTTCACATCAAAGGACACAAGTTTGTAGTCGTCAGGTGACTGTACTGTCTTAATAGCGTCAATAAAGTTCTCCGTAGATTATAGTTTGCGTCTTGATTTGTCGGTAAGGGTTGCATTTTGGTCGTCAAGTACTTAGCCAGTTACGTAAGGGACTCACAGAATGACACGCATCGGTATACCAGGTTTGTGCAGTTTCGGTAGTCCGTAAAGTTTCGGTGGTTGTGGTACTGAGCACCTCAGTCGATAGTAGCATCGAGTGTCAACAGCGTCAGTCTTTTTAAGCGTAAGTAGTTTGCTGTTAAGTTTACGTTGAAGTGCTGGCGTCGAGTAGTGTTTAAGTTCTTCGTACTTTTGTTGTTAACAAGTGCGTCCATTTTGTCACAGTAGTCAGTCTTGTCCTTATAAACAGTGACAGGTCCTTTGTCGGATAGTAGTATAACCATGTTGTCCAGTAGGAATGAGCAAAAAACTCATACGATGCGTGACACTACCGAAAAGTTGTATATAAGGCTAAAATGCTCTGAAAATTGTCAAATATGTGCGGATAAACTAAACGTTTCGGGCTTAGCCCGCGGTAAGGATCATGAGTTTTGTGTCTCAATGAATGGACCGTCCACCGGGATAAAACTGAAAAGCGGCCGTTGTTGACGGATGGCCGTTTTGGAGCCAGAGGTGGCCGTTAGTGAAGGCTCGACTGTATCGAAGATATTTAATTATACGGCCCTATTTATGAGATACCAGCTACATCTAATAAAATTCACAAATGGAGGAGATTACACGTGGGTGCAAAGATATGAATTATAGGGGTGCAAAAAACAAATAAAGTTGATAAAGATTTTTTAAAAACGAAACAACACTCACAATCTTTAATGTTACCTTTTAATCAACTGCTGGTAAGAAAGTTTGGAAGCCGACACGGTGACAATACTTCTCCCCTCCCATCATATGAACATTTCTCAATTTTGTTGTCCAGCGGCATTAGTAGTTATAGTATGAAGTGAAAATTTAAATATCTTCTGATGTGGTGAGGCAGTAGGCCAGGTACAAGAACTTTGCGCAGCAGCGCGCTCCAAACACTCCAGGCACCGCTACACCAGGCTTCAATTCCACTTCCTTTGTTTACTGTGATAATGATGATAGAGGCCTGGGTACTTGATTCGTTCCACTTCCAACTTGGCGTTAACAACACGGTCCAGTAGATCCCAGTCCTCCCCGCCCCATGTGTATTTGAATTTCTCGGTGTTCATTCCTTTAGACAAACAAAACAAAAATAAATCATAGTTGTATAACTGCAGGTTAAAGGGCCCTAGTCAGCCACGCCTCTGTTTTTGTTTACATGCGAGAATTTGTCTATTATATTTTTATTCAGAGCATGTGGAAACGAAGGAAATCACTGTGAAACTTCTAAAGATATTTAAACACATTTTTAGGAACATATTCGACGGTAAGGCAATAAGATTTCCAACATGCAATATCAACAATTTCGATGGCATTGAATATGGCGGAGGCTGACTAGGGTCCTTTAAACACACCTGAAGAAAAATCAAGAATACCAACATTTCTAATGCGATCCCGAGGTTTAGATCGTCAGATATCTGCAGATTACCGACTATCATTGCATTGTTGATGCTCATCAATAACGAGCGCATTTTCCATCTGCGACGAGGTTTCAAATGAGGAGCTTTTCTATTTTTCGGCGAAAAGACAACAAAAGCCCCTGGCGCTCCTTGTAGCGGCTTTTCTATACTGAGCGCAGGCAGGTGCTTGGGTGGCCAATCACGGAACGAGTTGCCACAAGTTGGATGAGGCTTAGCGGAGTTATTTTTACTGGTTTTGCGCGCTGTTGCAACTGTAAAGTAAGTGATTGAAACATTTAAGGTCTAGCCTCCATAACATTGCATAGTTTTCTTTGAGTTTTGTAGGAATTTTGATAGTCCTGTATTTTGTTAGCCTGTCCTAAACAACTTTTCATAACCCGCTCTATATTCCTTTGGTAAAGAAAGGTACTGTAACTACGCGAGAAACTCAATGTGAGTCCTACCCAAGGTCACAGAACAATGAACAGGGTACTGCTTACATGCTGTGCTTATTGTTTTCCTATGTGTTTATTGCGTTCGACGAAGGAGAAGATTTTTATTTCCGTCCTGTACCTGATTAGGCAGTTAACATGCATGCTTGCCACTCTGCCACCTCGCTTAAATTTTGCAGGGGCTTTCTCGGCCTGGACTAGCCGAATAATATAATTGCAATGTGCATTTCGTCCGTCCAGTCTTATAATGTTGTTCCCTACGCAGCTGTACACGACCCACAAGCAAAGTTTGCAATCAGATACTAGATAAGCAAAAAACAAGGGTTTACTTCGGATTCATAACAATCGGAAAGCATGTACGATTCGATATGCATAAAATGGAGATTTTAACTGGAGTTTGCGGTTGTAGAATTTGATATTCAATTCTTGGATTATTAATCATTGTTCGTGTTCTTCGCTTAATCTTCGTAGACGAAGAAACATTTTACTTCGTAGCGCTAGCACTTTGACCTGCGAGTGTTTGATCAAATTGCCCTAATGATTTTAGTCCCTCTCCGAGAGACTAAAATCATTAGGATGACATGACATCAACTATAAACTCAAGTTTAATGAGTGTGTCATGATGTAAAAATGCCTCAACGAAGGCGCTTCTTGATATCTATCGCGGAGGGTAAAAAAGCGCCCACAGATCCACAGCCGAACTACAAGGAGCAATAACGACTTTTACTTTTTTCTCAAGCATCTGAGCGGGCCGAAATCCTAAATCCTCGAATTTGATTGGCTAATCGTACGTACGTGACCGGTCCAGCTTTTTACGATACGGCCCACGGGCCGGATTTTTTTCCGGCTGCCTAAATTTCGCTCCTCAAAGTTAGCGGTAATAGTCAATCTTTTGCCTTTTTTACTCATCCATCGACGATTAGTCAACGCAAGTTTATCTCTGTTCACTTTAAAATGGCAAGGAAAGTCACTGTAAGTAAATCTAATTGAGTGTTTTGAAGTTGTGAGAGTTTGCTTGGTTGTTTGTAGCTTGGCGCTGTAATGGCGCGTAATCTCTCACCGTGAAATTTGAGTCAATTTCGGTCGAGTTTACCTCTCTGATCGTTGCTGTATTTAGGAGAATTTCTGTGGAATACACTTAACAAATTTCCTCGCTTTCTGCTATTCAATTTACGGTAGAAAAGTCTGATTTCAAGTGATTTTAAAAGCAACGATTGTCAGAAATTGTTTTTGTAGTAAAACTTCAAACTTTGCACGAAATTTCAGACCGCAAAAACAATTTTGGAGAACTTAATTGGTGAAATAAATGCAACTAACATAAAGTTCGAAAAAAATCAGTTCTTTAATACATCTTTTTTTGTCTACTATCTGAGTTACTCACTTGTTGCCAAGATTTTTTACAAATCGTTAGTAGACGTCGCGCAAGCCGATTCAATGACAAGAGCTACGTAAACAAACCTATTTGTAATCTATAAAACCAATTTACCGCAGAAAAAAAATAAACATGTTATATGCCGGCTTGGGGTCGGTCCGTAAAGTTAAAAACTGTGACCTCGGGATTCAGTGAAAGTGCTGCCCGAGGCCGCATTTTCAAGACCTCCGTCACAGTTTTTCACTATAAGGACCTCCCAGCCGGCAAATAACATATATGTATTTCATTAAATGTTGCCTCGCCACAGGACAACGATCCATCAGCTTTCTTGGAGCTAAGGCATGGAACGCGCTTCCAAAATCCATTAGAGATGTTACCTCGTTAAATAATTTTAAAAAGAATTTAATGAAACTATTCAAGGAATTCCAATTCCAACGGTATATAAATTTTTAGCTTCATTTATTCTGTTCTATTTTTAAGTCCATGTTCAGTTGATTTTTATACTATTGTAAAGTAATTTATTCATGATTATATTTTACATTGTGGCTTAACAGCCGCTACGGGGGAGCTTCAATATGTGTATGTTTCATTTTTTTGACAGGTTCGGGATAGGTGAGTAAAGTGGCTGTTTGATTTCAATTGTCAACTTCTGGAAGCTGCAAAAAAATTATTCAGAAGACTTAAGGAACTTTATCAGGTGCAAAACATGTTTGTCATATTTGGTTAGCAGGTTAAACAGGCTTTGTATTGCGGCAGTATTGCAGTTCCAGCTTCGCCTAACCTTTAGTTTATTCTCATTATCACCTCCGTAACAGTTTGAATTCCACTTACCGCCAAGCCTTGTCCAGTCAGATTTGTATATACTAAGCAAGCCAAACCCGTTAAGTTGCCAAAAGCCTCTGTGATCCTCAGACGAGCTGTCACAATCTAAACGACCAACCACAGGGAAATAGGCAATTCGTCCCTCGACGGTGTTCTGAAAGATGAATAAGAAACAGATACTGACGTACAAAGTTGAGCATGTAGTAGTGGTACAAGCTTACGTGCTAAACAGGGCTGTCAATAAGGGCCGTAACCCGTGACACCTGCTACGGCTGAGTATGTGTGACGGACCCTTGATGTTATGGGTGAACTAGACTATGGCTAATACAATTCACGTATAAAGTAAAAAGTTTGTTACGGGCGTGAAGATCATCAAGGCTACAGTTGAGTTAAAACTTAATGACAGCCCTGCTAAAGAGCAAAAGCAAAAACTATGTAAAACGACGTTTTAACTTTTATAGGCATACGCATTCTGCGCTTTGTTAATGATTTCGCCTACAAAGCTGCTGCAGATCCGATCCTAGGCGTACGGACGCCTTCGGACTTGAAGTGGAGGGAGGAAGTTTGACCTTTTAGCCCAAATAAAACTTACACAATGCTCGAATGCGTGAGTGTTGAAATCATGATACAAACGCATTCAAATTAAAGTAAAAACAAAAACATTCATGGTTCTCACGCCTGATGAAACTGTTGTAATTCCAAAAACAGTTTTTTTGAAACCTCGATCGACAACCTAGTGATTAAAACCGATCAAAGAAAAAATGTTTTTCCTCAGTCCCTCGGACGGCGAAAACTTGAAGCGGAGAAATTTTAAAACAGTCCTTTGGGTGGTAGTTCAAAATGGCTCTTTTGAGAGCCACCATAAAAACAAACATTCTATGGATCACCGAAAACACTGGCAGGTCACCATTCTTTCCAAATATATCTGGGGACTAAAGAATACTAACACCGACTGCACCATTAGCCGTGCATTATCAAACGAGCAAATCCGAACTCAATCGGCGCTTGTCTGGGAAGCTCCACTGTATCCTAACTGCTAACAAATCCGTCCGTCTCAGAGAGAGATCTGAATTAATCCCTAAATGCCAGGTCAAAGTAAATTCTATGCAAACAATCAGAAGCAGGATCGTTCCAAGCGCCCTGTATGATCGTCATCAGCATCCTCGTCTACAAGCCTCTTTCAGTCCACTTTTTCTCCCCAGAAGTTTTTGGTTACACTCTAGATATGATTTTAGATGCTTGAACTGCTAAGGTTTGCGTTCACCGTGAGGAACCTGGTGGAGAGCATAGGTTTTTGCAGGCGCCTCCTTCTTCATTCCCGGCGAAAGTACATAAGCACATAGCTAGGAACCTCTTTTCACATATAAATTTCTTCTGTTGCACAGAAATCATCGATCATGCAGGGATTTCATAGACATTTTCAACTGGAGGGCAACTTGTTTTAACAGGGGTCAAAACTTTTTGAACTGTACTTTGTTATAAGAAAAACGCCTCTTTAGAAGGTCAAACCAGGTGGGAAAAGTCATCCTCACAGTCGGTCATTTTGCCCTGTGCCCGGCCCTTAATGAAACCCCCTGAGTCCATGCCCTCTCTTGTTTAGGTTTGCTAGTTCAGTTTGCCGCTCGTTTAAAATTACGAGCAATCTCTGATTAGATCGTCGAACACTGCGCCTCGAAATCCGAGATCGCGTGACATGACTAAGCGTGACATTAGCTAGTGAAGTTAAGGAAAACATAAAACCAATGACGCAAATTCTGGTTCCCACCCNCCTCTCTCTCTCTCTCTCTCTCTCTCTCTCTCTCTCTCTCTCTCTCTTTCCAGGTAGGCCGTGCTTTCGTACCCTCTTACGTCACGACGCAATCTAACTGTTCGCTAACATTGCTCAAGACTCTTATAACGACTGCTTATAGCGTGATTGCATTTGCACTTAACGTTACCTTTCTGACGCTGTCCATGATATCTACAGGAACATCGATATGAAGATCATACAGAAAAAGTATATCATGCTCGCTTGGAACACGCGCGACAGCTTCGTTTAGCCCAAGTGTTTTGTAAAATTTACCCTTCATGTTAACAATGGTGTGTCTGCTTCGGAACAGAGAAGTGTTAAAAGCTTCGGCCATATCAATATCCTGACTTTCAAAGTCGGCAACAACGACGTGGAAGTTCGTATCACCGGTTGATAAGCTGGCAACAGTGAGTTCATTGATAAAATGATAGACCCATCGTCCCTGGTCCTTGACAGGAAGTATGAAGTACACCATGGCTTTGCTGTTCCAGTTGATTCCTTCTGGAAAACACAACTTGCCACTTCCCTTTTTCTGAAAGACGTGTTCTGATAAGCGAAATGATTTGTCGGTGTAATTTAAACCAACTTCTATGTCGACAGAGTAACGATCGCCATAAACTGGATCTGACTTTTGCGTAACTTTGTAGGTGCTCTTTAAAAAGAAATCTCTGGAAGGGAATGAAACAAATCAATCAATCAATCAATAAATTAAGCAACCAATCAAAAAATCATCAAATCAATCAGTCATTCAGTCAGTCAGTCAGTCAGTCAATCAGTCAAACAATCATCCAATCAATCAATTAATCAATCAATCAATCAAACAATCATGCAATAAAAAATTATTTAATCAATCAAACAATCATCCAATCAATTAATTAATCAATCAATCAATCAATCAATTAATCAATCAATCAATCATCCAATCCAAAAATCAATCAATCAATCAGTCAGTCAAGCTAGTTAACTGAGGCCTGTGGTTCAAAGCTCTCGGCGTTCATCACGGTTTCTGTAGCTTGAAGCGGCTAGAAGTATTCCTACTCCACCCTGGATGTGATGCTAGTCTACCGCAGGTTACCCCCAGCATTCTGTAAGGTTACCCCCACAATTTCCAGGTACCTATTTATATTCCTGGGCAGAGAGAGAAAGCACTGTGAGAGGAACGGTGTCTTACAAAAGACCCTGAAATGGCCGCTAACAGGCCGAATCATTTACACTGCTAATTTGAGAACTGACTTTGCAGTTTTTTCGCTAAGGGAAGTGATCATCTTGTCCACCACTGATTGTATTATTTCTCCATCAGCGACTCTGTTACTCCAGGACCACACTCTTCCTTTGCTTCCCATAAAAGTATCATCTTGTGGAAACACGTTGGATAAATAAACTAGGGGTTGCCCATTATCTTTGTCTATTTTGTCTTTGAGAATAAAGCTAGACTTGTAAATGCATTGCGGAAGATAATTTCCTTCGCTTATCAAAGGCAGCGTGAAAAAGCTCGAGTATTTTTTCCACGCTGTCTGGGAGATTGCAAGACGCTTAGCAAGTAGTTGGTTCATGGCATCCTGTTTTGAGGGATCGGAACACGACGATAAGTATTCAGAGCTGATCAGTTTAAAATCTGTGACACCAGAATTTGACCAAAAAACTTGCACAAATCCGTCGCCTTCGCCTTGTTTATGAATGACCTCAATGTAGTATCGACCTCCGTCGCGAAGCTTTATATCTCTGGAAATTTGATTAGGGTATTTATTTATCTCGTTCTTTGTCGTCCAGCCTGTTGCGCCCTCTACAAACACACTGGCAATTAGCTGTTTCTCTTCAGGACTTTCGCTTGGACTGAGCCACAACTCTGATGAATCATCGGAGGCTATAGCAAAGCGATATGATCCACTCCTCGCTGGGTTTAGGAAACCAGATATCGTTTGACCGTATTCCGTTTGGCTGTCTTCGATTTGAAACTCGGAAAACTCGCGAATGAATTTTTTTTCGCTAGGATAACTAGGATAAAATGGCGAGCTTCGCAGCACTTTCACATCGCCGCCGCACAAATCGCGCCAGATGGAAACTGTCAGTCGACCGTTTCTTCCGTCTTCACAAGTGGGTTTTTGTTCCTCGTCGGTGAAATGCTCTCCAGATTCACTAGTGAAGAAGACACTGTTCTCTTTTAATAAAATAGAAGCCAAATAGAAGATTGAACAACAAGAGAGTATTATTATCAGAAGCTTGAGCAGTCGTCTGAGTCTTCGTGATCGCACAGACAACCAAAAAGCGCGTTGGAGAGGATTAAACCGATAAACAGGCGAGAAGATCAGTCTTGCCACCATCTTGTATTTCAAACAGAGTGAAGAAGGTCAGTGGAATCCGGCTTTACCTTTACTGACACTTGTGGTTAACCCCTTACAATCCGATATGTGCGGACAATTTTGGCTGTGCAGAGGTAAAGCTCTTACAGTAGTCGGACCCAAGTGAAATGTCGAGAAGTGCTCTCAAACAAAGTTAATCTCCCGCCATAGACATTGTCGCAATTCTATGCAAATTGAACCGTCAAAGTTTTCTACAGGCGTTGTTACAGTCGCCTGTACGGTAACCTAGTAGCGCCCACATTCAGTTGATCAGTTTTTACTCAAACAAACGAGCATCACTGGTGCATTACTGCATTAATTATAAAGCTTCAACCTGCAAAACATTCATGTAAGACCGTTAAAATTAGAACATTAGCTAACATTTAATCATGAGCTCCAAACAAACTATTTAAAAATACTCGTTAATAGTTAGTTAAATTAAAACATTCGATTAATCAGGTCAAACATTCTTTTATTAATTTAAAACCTTTCTTCAACATTTGAATATTAATTTGAAACAATCGGCATTTTAATTTAAACTTGACATTCTATGGAGACATTCATCTCGGTTTTTCAAATATGTCAATCAAACTCTTCTGTGCCCGCCGTCGTGCTGTTTCTAGCATTTTGAACTTGTGCTTTGTGTGAGTGAGCCTGAAGCGAGCAAACGAGGCATTTCTCTAATCGGGAAAATGTCACATTGTAGGGGCTTTTGCGAAACGCAAGGAATTGTGGTAACGGTAAGATCAAAGACGCAAGGAATTGTAGTTATGCCCGAATGGAAAAATCAAGACGCGCTGTTTTCCATGTGGTCTCCTTGATCGATGAAAGTAAGGATGAGAGCTATCGGGAAAAACAGGAACATCAATCCAAAATATCCAACAAAACACTCTTGTGGATTCTCAACTAATACTAACAGAAGTCATTTGGCAGGAGTACCCGACGGAGCCGCTCGACAGAAAACCCGCTC